TATTCTGCTTGACGTGAACGCAGCCGCAGACGGGAATCGACGGGCGCCTCACTAATGGCCAGTGCCGATAGATACCAAATTGCGTGACTGAGCAACGTATCCCATACTCTCTCAGTATAAGCGGGCGGCGCCGTTCAATTCCCGACAGCGGCTGCGTTCGCCTCTGCAGCCTTGTAGGGCTTTTACTATTCTAGCGCGCTGAGGAGCGTCGACGTGCGTCGTCGCTAAGTCAGAACGCTGCTTTATCGTGGCGCGTCAGCGTGATGCACTACTAAGCACCAAAAAGATAAAATAAAATGACAATAGTAAGTCTTGAGAAGTTTTGGCATTTGTTCCAAAGCTGAAATCTTAGAGCTGCATGGCGTTCTTCATTGCCTCGAAGACAATACCCTGTTCCGTGGATGGTCCATACCATGTGCGAGTTTCGCTGCGATATCTTGATGCGGACAAAAGTGCTGCACTTTGGAGATAGCACATACGAAGCCGGGAGATAGCAATCGGAAGCACTGCCCTTCAGCCCCGTCCCCATGCACTTCTGAGCGGAGAAAGTGGCACTGTACCGCACCAGCGGGCCCATTCACTTTGCGCCTGAGAAGAACCGTACTAGAAGGTAAGTGTACATTCGTCCCTCACTCCGTTATGAGAAAGTAAAATCAAATATGTACCACAATTCTCTCGGTTTCCATAGATCCTTGAACGAGTTACTCTCCTCAAGCTGTAGAACTGTAAAATGTGTGAACAATCCAGTACAAGAAGTGGATTATTCAAAATCTTCACGCTCATGTAGAACGGCATTAAGGCCCCGTCCATGGACTCAAGTAGTTCATTGTTTGAAATGAGGAGGTCGTAACCTGGAAACATTGCTTTCAGTGAATTCGAGTTAAAGAGATAATGTTGGACAGAAACCAAGAAAGAGCCATGAGATTGTTAGGTTGTGAAAGACAGCTGGCTTTTGGCACTAACATGCACATCATATCCGGGCGATGGAGAGGGCAGGGCTGCGTACTTTATCTGAAGCTGACTGCGGCTACACTCTGATAAGATAATGCCTTTTCGGGACCATTGTGATCGTGTGTTTGTTCAGCACAAGACATGATGATAGTTATCTCACGAGAAACCCACAGTGTTTAAGCGAAGTACGCACCCACGCCTTCTCGTTCTCCGATATGAGAAGTGTAGCATGACACGTTAATC